CCATCAGCTTCGACTTCGCCGCTGGGGCTCGCGATTCTGTGGCGTTTTGGGTTTGGGGGTAGTGGGTTTAGAGTTCAGGGTTTAGGGTTGAGGGTTAGGATGATTAGTGCTGGCCCCCATACTTTAACTTAAGGGCATGAGCAGAATACTGCTCCAACTCTCCGGTTTCTACTTCAAGCAGAGAGCTACCAAGGTGGGCAAAGGTTTCCCGAGGACCCTGTACGGCCCCATTGTATTCAATGGCGGAGTTCTAGCGGCGACGCGAAAAGGTTTAGGGCTTAGGGCTAGGGTTTGTAACAGGGTTTGGACTTTTGGACCCTAAACCCTAAACCCTAAACCCAAATTGGGATGTTTAGGATAAAGGGCAAAGAGAGAGTTGGTGCTTATGTTCAGTGCAAGCTGTATCTGAGTTGGCGTGATGGGGAACCTCGTAGTAGAGTAGGTCACCTTAAACCTTCTCTTCGGGGTACTATACTCCCTATATATTCCCAAAGGTTATTGGAGGTTCATGGGTAGTTATAAGTGAGGTTCTAAGCCCCGTAATATGGGTGATAGCTATAGTCACCTTACTTATAACCCCATATAACTGCCCATGAACCTCCAAGTAACCTATATTTCCCTAGGATACTGGACAAGAGTGGGAATTTAGACGGAGTTTACAGGGCTGATGGCAGGGTTTCGACTGGAGGTTTGGCTGTACCGCAGGTTTAGGGCGTTTAGGATTTAGGGTTTTGAGCCGTTTAGGGCTTTTAAGGATTTCGGGTTGAGGGCTTCAGGGTTTGGGGTTTAGGGTTCAGAGTTCAGGGGTTTAGGGTTTGGGGTTGAGGGGTTCAGGGCTTTGGGCTTAAGGGTTTAGGTGATCCTTCTGCAGAATAGTACCAGTATGCCCCGGAAAGCTTTCTGCTACTGGACCGAACAAGGGTCAACAGAGGAAAAGCTGCTATTACTGATACTCATTTTCCAGGTTGCCTATACCATACTTGCTCCGCTAGAATAAAAGGATCCACAGATACAGCGCTATAACATACTCGAACTAGCAGTGTAAGTATTGTACCCCAGCGACTGTAGCATTGGAGATCTAACGTCTTATTGCCCTCAACTCCAACATTTAAGCCTAAATCCTGGACCCTAAACCCGAAACCCTAAACCCGAAACCCTAAACCCCCACAGAAACCACTTCAGAGAACCGAGCCCGTTACGGGATTCCCCTGGATTTTAAACCGTAACATAGGGGGGGCTTATAATGATTAGGGTAGGGTTTGGGGTATATCCTACTAGAAGTATCATACGGAACCCCCGACAACCCTAGTCTAATTAATCCCCTAGGTTAGATAAACTATAAGACTTGAACCCTGCCCGAAACAATACTACAAGTCACATTTTGACCCCTTATACCCTGAACCCTAAACCCAAGCCGTGTTTTTGGGCTCGATACTTTCCCTAAACCCTAAACCCTAAACCCTGAACCCAAGCCGTGTTTTTGGGCTCGATACTTTCATCCAACCGGGCCTCTCAACTGCAGCTGAAGTTCGACGAGGACGGGTGACTGAGGTGATCTTCAGGGGCCCTAAACCCCAAAGCCCCAAAACCCCAAAATCCCTGAATCCACCCTACCCCAAACCCGAAACTCCCGCTCGGAATGCCAGAATCGTCCTTCCATGAGCTCCGTCTTGACAGGGGAAGATGTTCACAAGCAACAGCAATGTTGTGCATCGACAGGCGGTGTGATAACAGTAGTAGCAGCGGCGATGACGATGACGATTATTATTGTGATGCTGCTGATGATGGTGATATCGATGATGGCAGCTGTTGTGCTTCAGGTGTTCGGTCCCAAAGACCATGCTGCACATGGCTTTGTGCTGCGTGGATGAAAATGAAAATGGTTCTTGATACATACATACACATGTACATATGTATATATATATATATATATGTTTATAGTGGTAGGTAGGTATGTAAGCAAGCATGTATGTGTGTCTGTTTGTCTGTCTATCTGTCTGTCTGTCAGTCGGGCTGTCTGTCTGTATGTATGTATGTATGTATGTATGTATGGATGCAGATGCATGTATCGCATGTAGCCTGTCTATACATGTATATATATATATATATGTGTGTGTGTGTGTTTGTTTATTCAAATGTTTAGTTGTGTATATATGTATATATATATAAATATATATATATATATATATATATATATACATACGCATGTATACACGCATGCATACATACATACATACATACATACATACATACATACAGACAGACAGACAGACATACATACATACATACATACATACATACATACACACATACTCATGCATGCATCGGGCATTATCTATGTACGTATTTACCTGCTCGCCGTTGCAAGCCACAAAATGCCAAGGGTGCCGTTGCTGGCCGTCTTTTGGTCTCTTGCGATTGTGCGTTCATTGCTTTGGGTTTATCCCTGGTTTTGTCTTGCCCTAGACAAGTAATGTAGGGGGCTTAATAACTAGAATGGGGTTTTGCGGGTTCCTCATTATAAATCGAATGCAATACACCGCGATGCCCTATTCTAATTATGAAGGCCCCTAAATATTTGGACTGAGCGACGGATATGAACCCAAAGCACAAACCCGGCACCCTAAGGATTTCACCCCGACTTCAGAACCCTACGACCCAAAACCCCAAACCCTAAACCTCAACGCCATAGCGTAGACCCTAAACCCGAACCCTAAACCAAAGTGGCTTTCGCTCCCCAGCCTCGAGTTCAGGAGCCGTCGGGGCATGCCCCTCAACCTAAAACGCAAAACCTTGAACCGTCCGCTCCCGGCACCCTATACTAGACCCTTTATATGAACCCGTTTAGTAACCCTTGTGTAGGAACCCTAAACCCTAAACGCCTTAAATCCAGGAGGCGTCGGGGGTTTGCCATGCTGGCTGGGAAGACCTCCGTGATCACCGGCGCAGGGAAGGCCAGTCCGGCTCTTCCATTAATTTCGGGGCCTTAATAAATAACATAAGGTTTTGGGGCTCAGTATACTATAGCCATAATAAGGAAAGCCCCAAAATAGTAATTATTGGTATTATTTAGGCCCCTACATTAAAGGTTACTGGGTTCGGGGTTTGGTAATTTAGGGTTCCTTCAAAGGTCCTTTTAAAGGCTTCCTATAGGGGCTCTATATTGGGGTTGTAGAAGGTTTTAGGATTCGCTGTAAGTGGACCATATCATTAGCTAGGTCCCTTGAAAGGGTTCCTTTAGGGGTTCCATATAAAGGTTGTAGAGGCTATCTATATATATATATATACATACATACTACCATTATGGAGTTAACTCCCAAAAGACCATACTTATTATGGCTTTAGGGACCTAATTCCATAATGGTAGTATATATGGAGCCTCTGGGTTGTAGACGGTTTTAGGATTCGCTGTCTGAACCTATAGCCACGGGGACCATATCATTAGCCAGGGGCCTTGCATTTTCGTAGAAGCACATTAACGAGCCCTGGGGCCTGTATTCGACCTACGTTCTTGCTTTCGCAGTTCAGTTTAGTCGATTCGCCTTTGTGCCGCTTCGTCGTCGCACTGGAACCTTGCAGGGCGTGTCTTGCTGGAGGAAAGTGAACCTGAGAGTGCAACATCCCGCGTCTCAGGTTAAGCACCAAAGTACAAGAGTCCAACCTCAAGCCAAGCGCACCCACATACATCTACACTTGTCTTGGTGCTGTGCATGACTATGTACTTACTACTTAGACATGGTTCAGTCGAGGTAGCAGACCTGCATGAGAATACCGCTCACATGCAGACCTGATGCTTTGCAGGGCATCGGCCGAGCGATTGCTCTGGCCTATGCCAAGGACCATTGGGATAACTTCCGATGGCCATCGTTGTCGCTGAATCGATGCTGGCGATGTTCGTTCTTGTGATGGCATTGACATTGATAGTGATGCCCGATGTTGGCCATGCCAACGATGCTGATGCTGGTTATCCTGGTGCTGGCGTTGGTGCTGCTGGCGCTGTTGGTTGTTGGCAGCGGCGGCGGCGGTATTAGTGATGGTGGTGCCGATCTGTTGAATGTAGGGGCCTTAATAATTAGAATAGGGTTTGGGGGTATATGATACTATGATTTTAAATGAGGAGCCCCCAAAACCCTATTCTAATTATGAACGCCCGTACATTACACAATGCTTTAGTGTTGCTAGTTGGAACTACGTTGTTCTGCAAATGTTGCGGCGATGACCAAGACTATTCCACGACTGGTAGCTGGTACTTAGCTGCTAAACCGAGTTTCCACACGACAGCTACCAGGCGTGCTGCAACTCATCCTCCTGCTGATGCTGCGTCTGCTGCCGAAGCACATGCGGCTCCTGCTGCTTCTACTACTGAATACTGCTTCAGGTGCCGGCAGTCCCGAGAAACTTCGAACCTGGTTGGTTGATGAACACACTTTACACTTTACATTGAGATAGGGCCTCCAGCATGACTGCAGATAAAACTAGATTAATCCTGAGCCAAGGCCCGTTTTGACAGCAATAACCGAAGAGGCACAGCTATGCTCTCAGAGTCAGCACACTCATGTTGACAACGGCCCCTAGCCCAAAACCCTTAAAGGGAACCCCATTATAGAACCCTAAAAAGGAACCCCTATCTTCAATCCTCAAAATCCCAAAACTGCCCGCATTATAGAACCCTATAGTACCCTTACAAAAGGAGCCCTTATCTTCAAGCCTCAATTTCTAAACCCCCCCCCCACCGGACCTCTCCCTTCAGTCTCTCCCTCTTTGGTAGTTTGATAACCGGGCATTGCTGATCCCCTCGTTGCGGCACCGAAATAGACCGTTACAATACTAGACTTGACCATACCATACTATACCATACCATACTACACATACTAAACTAGTTTAGACTATACTCTAGTGTACTATATCAAACTATACTCTGCTGTGCTATACTACACTATAAACATACGAAGCAAAACTAGGGAATAACTATACTTTACTATAGTAGACTATAATTGCAGGAGAGCTCCAACTTAGTCTTGGCTGCGCGGACCAAGGCAATCGTGCAAGCCTTTAGGGCTTCACAGCTCATGGGGGAAGGGGGTAGGGATTTGGGGTGTAAGGGTTTTGAGGGTAGCATAGGGTTTAGGGGTGCAGGGGTTAAGGGTTGAGGGTTTGGGGGTTTAGGTTTTAGGGCTTAGGGGTTTAGGGTTTAGGGGAATTGGATAGTTCTTTAAGTTAGGCCCCTTTTAAGATCCCAAATATAGTACGACACCCTTATACAAGGGACCCTAAAAGCGAGGCTAATTTAGAGAACTACCCATTTAGTGTTGAGGAGTTAGGCTTAGGAGTTTAAGGTTTAGGTTCTCGGATTTCGAGCTTCAGTTTTCAGTGCGCTGCAAGCTTTATGCGAGCCAACAGCATAAAGCCCGGACCTGGTACCAATATCAATCATTATAGGATTCCTTAATATGTGGGTGCGATAATAGCAAAGCCAAATCCCGTTTTCTAATCATTAACGCACCTCCTTATCTGAACACACAGCCCGAAATGCCGATTCGGGTTGTGGGCATGTGGGACGTATCTACCAAAACGCTTAACTGTACTACCTAATTGCCAACCCTTGAACCCTGAACCCTAAGACCCCTAAACCCTAAACCCTTTAACCCTATACCTTGAACTACCAAACCCTACTTTTTTGCGGGTTCTTATTATAAACCCTGATATTGAATTCGCAGGGACCCTACAAAAAAGTAGGTTTTGGTAGGTTAAGGTAAGTACTAAGCCCCACAACGCAGGCGGATCTGGACGAGGTCGCCACGGAGTGTTCGAAGGTGCCAGGAGCCTCTTGGCTGCACTGATTCATGTAGGGGCCTAATTTTGGGGTATATTGGAGTTTCCGAAAATAAGGGGTACCTTATTTGGGGGTCCTTATAATAAGGATCCTACTATTTAGCGTGCTATATTAGGGTCCCCTATTTTCTGAAACCCCCATATTGTACCAGAATATAATAAGGAGCCTCCGAAAATAGGAAATTATATAGGCCCCTATATTAATTGCCATGAGGCTCCATGTGCCCATAAAGTGCATACTTACGCCCGAAAGTACCTACAGTATGTAGGAACCCTTGTTTTGCTCGGTACACAAAGGGTGACAAAGTGCAGTGACCCATGAACCCTGAACCCTAGACCCTACTTATGACTATCAGAGACAGAACAGCAAGAATCAGGTTGGGAAGGTCCAAACCTTTCCCGTGGACCTTTCCGATCGGGAGGGCGTCGACTCGCTGGCTTCCTTCGTGGACAGCTGCGGAGGTGGGTTTAGGGTTTAGGGGTTTAGGGGTTTAGGGGTTTAGGGGTTTAGGGGTTTAGGGTTTAGGGTTGGGTTTACCTGGATCCCCCAACTAGACTCTAGTATACCCTGAATACCCACTACTAAGAATCCGAAGGGCTGTATTAAGGGGTACTTGGGGGGGTCCTGGTAGGGATTTAGGGTTTAGGATTTATTTTCCTATTTTGCTTACGGGGTTCTACAATACTCGCATCCCAGACCGCCGGGAGGATCCAAAAAGTAGATCCCTCAAGGGGGGTTCCTATAAAGACCCTTTAGTAGTATAGGGTCCCAAATTAGGGGTTCTACTTCCTAGATCCTTCCGGGGGCCTGGGAGAAGTTATTTGGGACTTGGGGTGTGGGGATTTAGGGGTCAGGTCTTGATGGGTTTCGAGTTCGGATCTGTAGCGCTTGCGCGTTTGCCCCATGAGTGGGAGCGTTTAAGTTCAGGATTTTGTAGGGTTTAGGGTTTAGGGTTTAGGATTCTAGGGTGTAGGGTTTAGGGTTTAGGATTCTGTAGGGTTTAGGGTTTAGGATTCTGTAGGGTGTAGGGTTTATGATTCTGAAGGGTTTAGGGTTTAGGATTCTGTAGGGTTTAGGGTTTAGGATTCTGGCCGCTTCGATGCAAGTCTTGTTTGCAGATGTTTCGCTTGTAGGAGTGGTGCTGATGGCAATCATGGTCTGACAGAGCGGCAAAAACAATCGCGCGAAACATAGTTGCAACAGCGCCATTCTACGTGTGATTAAACCAACGAAGACGACAACAAGAACGCCAACTACAATTTATGCCAAGCGACGAAACGCTCAGAAGCAACCCTAAAACCTAAACTCTAGCAGTACCCACGTGCAGATGGAATAGAGCATTTAAACATGAAGTATTCCACAGAATACGAACGAAGGGAATTTGAAACTGCTGCGCTTGCAGGTTGCGATGTTTTGGTGAACAATGCTGGACGGGTGTCGCCGGGAAGTGCTTCGGAGGGAGACGTGGACGATTGGGACAAGATGATCTACCTGAACTTGCCTCCAGGCTCACATCCGGCAGCCCTAATCCGTAAACCCAAAACTCTAAACCTTAAACCCCAAACCCTAAACGCGCCTTTAAACCCTAATCCCTAATCCTTGTGCTCCACACCTTCAACGGCTAAACCTGGAGATTGGCAAGCTGGATCCGTAGAGCAGCAGTTTAAGGTTTGGTCTTCAGGGTTCAGGGTGGAGGGTTTAGGCTTTAGCGACTCGGAAGCAGTGTCGCAGTGGCATGGTTCAGTACCTCTGTATCCCGAACCGCAATATAGGGGCCGAAAAACTAGGGATACTATCACTTGTATCTAGCGCCCTATCATCATTGTTAAGGTCGTCGCAGATACTATCACAGCATAATAGAATATCTCAAAACCCTATCCAGTTGATAGAGGCCCTTATATTTGGTGAGATGTGTTTGCCTGCCTTGTCGAGCTGAGGAATGGAGTCATGCGACTGACTCGGCGACTGATCCCAAACATGGCCGCGCCTCTTTGCTCAAAGATTTTAAGGCTTTACGGTCCCTAAGAGTTATGAACTTGGGGCATCAAGGGTTTAGGATCTAAGGTTGTGTTTAAGTTGTTCAGATTGGAGCGAAGTTAATGGCATCAAGCTGCCATTTTGGATGGGGCTCCGTTGGCACCAGATTTAGCCGGGAAAGTCCTCTCGGTGTACATTCCGCAAGGATAGACATGAACAAATGCAAGCGGCTTGCTGTGGGTATGTGGGAGGTCCCGAAAATTAGGGTACCTTGTTTTGGGGTCCTTATAATAAGGATCCTATTATTTAGGGTGCAATATTAGGGTCCCCATTTTCGGAACCCCCATGTCTCTGATGCTCCCACCTTGATTTGAAGCTATTGCTGCTACCGGTGCCGGAACCCGACTGCCCGTTCCACCAGCTTGGCTGCTGCTGCTGCACACCTGCTTCCCGCTTCCTTTGCTCTTCATGTCTACCCCTCGCGCTGCTACGGTTGCTCCTACGACGACGAGCGATACGATAGCCTAGAACAACGACGAAAACTAAGATTTGTTGCTCCCGTCACTATTATTATTGTTATTGTGGTTATTACTACTACTAGTATTCTATTCTTATTCTTATTATTATTACTACTACTATAATATCATTATTACTATATTATTACTACTACTACTACTACTACTACTACTACTACCACCAACGCGACTGCTCCTGCCAGCGCCTTAGTTTCTGCCACCTCTCCTCTTGCTGCGATGCCGCTGTCTCTACTGCAACTTCACTGTTTAGGGTTTAGGGTTATTCTACCATGCCGAAATGACTCATTCTGTCGCGACCTGCACCGCCGCATCCAGCATCACTGTTCGTCCTCGTGTTCCGTTTATCTTGCGGTGCATTTTCGACTAATACAGCTGTGTGGCGCCGCCATAACCAGCAGCTCAGTTGCAGGTTAGACAGCCGAAGCATCTCGAGCCAACTCAAGGAAGAAGTGGGGCGCCCTCATCAACCTCGGGAGCATTGCGGCAATCGAGGGCATGTCGGGCAGTCGCTTGTGCAGACTTTACAGAGTTTCCTGCTCCTGTCGATATAGCTTTGTCCGTGTACGTGTGTTTTGCCTTTTTGCCGCAGATGCCAAGAAAGCTCGCAGGTTCAAAAGCCCAGTTTCCTTGTGCACACCACCCTCCCCTACTCTGAGCCGCAAAGCAGTGGCCTGAAGTCCTTAATATAGCGGCCTAAATAATTACCTATACCATTTTTTTGGGGGGGGTTCTTATCCTGATGAAACTATAATGCACCCCAAAAACCCGTTTTGATTATTAAGGCCCCTAAACCCTAAACTCTTATAGTAGCCCTTTAAAGGAGCCCTTTAAAGGAACCATTACTAGTAGCCCTTTTAAGGAACCCTTTAAAGGAACCCTCAAAACCCTGTTCTAATTATGAGGGCTTCTATACTATAGAACCCTTATAGCCCTTATGAGCCCTTTTAAGGAACCCTTTAAAGGAGCCCTCAAAACCCTATTCTAATGATTCAAGGCTTCGATCTTACGCTTCTGCCCAGGACGTCGAGTCAGCAGCCGGCGCCCTGCGTGTGGCCGCAGGTCGCCCTGCCGCACTGCAGCCTTGGCAACCTGGCAGAAACTTTTTTTTGGGGGGTCAGGGGGTTTAGGGTTCAGGGTTCAGGGTCTAGGGATTAGGGTTTAGGGTTTGGCGTTTTGGGGGTTAGGGTTGAAGCAATTAACAGCGGTTTTCAAGGGAACAGTTAGGTTTGGTTAAGTTTGCGTGGGTTGAGAAGTTCTGAGGAGTGCGCAGGGTTGCGTTCCTGATTCTGTAGGGTTTTACTGGCAGGTCTGTTGGATTCTATGCAAGCAGGGGCACCTGGCCAAGTGCACCTAATCTGCAAACCTTTCCGAACAGTGGGGTTCAGCTTGACGTAGTTGTCAGGTTTGGGTTTGTGGCGAAGCTACATGCATGTGGACGCAACAAAATGTATCTACTCTATGTAAACCCTAAACCCTAAACCCTAAACCCTACTCTATTTCTCGTTTTCCGCACGAGAGTACAAGATGAGAGTTGTCGTTCTTTATGGCCATAGCTATAGCCGGCAAAACTTCAGTTTGAACCCTCACGGCCTCCAAGCCGAAGACCCGAAATAGTTGCGGTGGGCACTTTGCACGATCATCATGCAAGAGAGAGAGGGAGAGAAGAAGAGAAAGAGAGAGAGAGAGAGAGAGACAGAGAGAGAGAGAGAGTGAAAGAGAGAGAGAGAGAGAGTGAGCGAGAGAGAGAGAGGAAGACAGACAGAGAGAGATACAGAGAGAGAGAGCGAGAGAGCAAAAGAGAGAGCGATCGAGAGAGAGAGAGAGAGAGAGATACAGAGAGAGAGAGAGAGGGAGACAGAGAGAGCAAACGAGAGAGCGAGCGAGAGAGAGAGAGAGAGAGAGCGAGAGAGGGAGAGAAAGAGAGAAAGAGAGAGCGAGAGAGAGAGAGAGAGAGCGTAGTTAGGGTGGGTGCGCGGACGCGGATTTTCCGTAGGCTCCTGCTGTGGCATGTTGCATACTTTGAAATCGGGGCCTTGCGGTAGCTTCCCTTGCACACGGAGAGCCCGATTCATTGTAATGTAGGAACCTGATTCAGAAACCCTGGCCATAGAACCCCAAAGCAGTAGGATGAATATAGCAAAAAAACCTGAATAAGGACCCGCGGTTTCTTAATCATTTTCCTACATGACATTCCAACACATGGCCACCTTTCGGCGTATCTTTTGGGCCAGTACTTGAGGAACTACGCAGACCACACCAGACCAAACACAAAAGTTGTAGTAGCTAACCATTTCAAAGATGGGTTTGTCTGTTTCATGGGGTGCCGTTTTTATTCTTATGAGCATCTTCCAACTCCACGGCTGCAACTGTTCCCCGCAAACGTGGCTTGGCCTCCGGGGAAGCTCATGGTCTTCAGTTCACTTCACGGTTTAGGGTTTAGGGTTTGGAAGAATTGCCCAGGAAGTCCTTCTTCGTAGTTCGGACGCCGGAGAACTCGGAGGAAGCGCGCAGCAGACTCAAGAAGAACATCCTGCACTTTCAGGCAAGCCGGCGGGGTGTAGCTGTGAGGGGCATGAGGGCTTTTACAGATCTGCTGATTTCTCGGTTAGCAAATTCGTTCTGTACTGGAAACAGTATGACTCGGTCTGCTAGAGCCTGCTAGAGGGTTTGAGAAGGTTTCACAAAGGAAGCTGATGAACGACTAGGCAGCAAGCTTCACATGTGCTTTTTGGCTCAAGCTGTTGGATGTTGGGCTTACGTGGTATTCGTGCTGCTTGTGATTGCGAACTGATACGCCGAGATGCTGACATTAGCAAGTTCAGTTTTGGAGTCGAAGGTACAGCCAGGCAGGCGAAGTCATCACAAGTACCTATAGTCTCCATTGTAGTTCCTTTTTTTGGTTTAACCAAATACAAAATAAGGATTTTATAAGGTACCCCCAAAAAGGAACTACAATGGAGACTATAGGTAGTATAGGATGGTGGCCACATCTGTAACTGATGCAGCTGCGCCTCCCCCACCCGCTTTTTCTCTACTCAGGCCACAGCTACTATGCCCACGACTTGAGATGCTGTGCTGATGTTGGATGTGTTGCTTCCACTGACAGTGGCAATGCCACGAAATTACATCTCGCAGAGCGGGTGCAGCATGTATGATGACGATGATGGTGACGATGATGATGATGATGATGATGATGATGATGGTGACAAGTTCCTTTTCCATGGGACCCTTACAAGCCTAAAGCCTCACAAATAGCTCGGAGCCTTGATCCGATAACCTTAAACCGTGAACCCTCATTCCCAAATCCTATACCCTGAGCCTCCCAACCCTCAACCCTTAAGAGGTAGCAGCCTCGAGGCTGGATATCTACAGCACATGCCATAAACGTGCCGATCCGCTCGAACCTTGAAGCGAAAACGCTACTTACCACAATGTACAACCTAAGAGCCCTAAAACCTGATTCAGGGCTTATGGTAAACCCTAGAAACCCTAGACTCTACAAGTCCAGAGACCAAAGCGTAAGTATTCTCACGAAGCAAAGGTTTTGGAACGACTCTTAAAAACCTGACAGGTGCACCCTAGCCCTAGCACCCACAAAAGTTGAAGACCTAAACGCGCAGTGGTCAACTATCTGAAAAAGCCCTGGAACCCTTTAAGGGGGACCCTATTCTGGAACCTTTTAGGGTCCTCTAAGGGCGGACCCTATTTTGCTGTTTAGGGTTTAGGGCTTAGGGAACCCCGGAAGCCAACCCTGAAATTCAAATCCTTGCGGAGGCTAACTATCTGGTCCTGGTCGCGATCTTCTTGGGTTTGCTGTTGCTCAGTGACTGGAGCCTTGGTGGCAGCGGTGGCGGTTGGCTTTACAAGCGGTTTAAGGTTTGGGGAATCTGGACCGGCGAGCATCATTCAAGCCTGTGCAAAAGAGGGCCGGAATCAGCGATTCGAGAGCATGTTGTAAGCTTGTGATAGTTTAGGGCTTTAGACGGTCTTGTTTGGGTGGATTTAGGTGGGTTGATGCGTTGGAGAGCTTTGTAAGTGCTTCATCGGGGTGACGGGGTTATAAGGCCTTGTAGGGGCATTATCGCATTTCTTTTGTCGTGTTTGGCGGTTTGGAGTCTTATCTTGGGGTTTAGGGGTTTAGGGTTTAGGGTTTAGGGTTCAGGTTTGGGAGGAGGCCGGGTTTTGTAGGGTTTTTGGATTCAGGTTTTCAGGGCTTTTGAGGCCTTGGGCCTTGTTCTAGAGTCGAGGCGGCTCATGGCGGGAATAGCTTCGCCATTGCAAAGTGCCAAGGCCCTAAACCCAAGGCCGATCCAAAATCAGCAAGCCGAAATCCGGTAACCCCCAAGCCCCTAAACCCTAAACCCTAAACCCGAAACCCTAAACCCTAAACCCTAAACCCTAAACCCTAGCCCTCAACCCTAAACGCAGCGTATTGAGCGATTCTCGGGCTAGGTTGTGGGTTTACACCTGGGTTGAGGGTGCAGCAATTGGCAGCTGAGGGCCTTAGAGTTGCTGGTTAAGTGTTCAGAGTTTTACGGTCTTCGAATGCGTGCTTCTTGATTCTAAGGTTGAACCCATGGGCCCCTAACATGGGCCTTCAGGGGGGTTCTAGGGTCCCTTAAGGGTATATATAGGGTATATAGTAGGTATATTAGGGTCCCAGGGTCAAGGGCCCATACTAGGGGCCCATGGGTTCTACCTGAGATTGATGCCCCAACATCTGCCAGCCTGGTCTGATCCTGAAGCTCATCCTCATTTATGGGTTTCTGGCGGTCGCAGGGGCAAGGGCGAACGCGTGGAACTCTTCTGGGAACTTCGCCGGGTAAACCCTAAGGCCACACAGCAGCATCGTATACTACGGGACACAAGACAGACTCTGCCTGAATAGTCACATACTTCTTGAAAGGACCCCTCATTGGCCCAACATACAGGATGCCACAAAAATCTGGAACGTCCCTCGTGTTAGCTTCAAAACCCTGGGCCCCATAATGTAGGAACCTGATTAAGCAACCCTGGCCCTATAACCCCATAGGCTTCTTACTGAGAACCCTAATAAAGACTCAGGGCATATTCCTAAACCCCAGACCCTATACATCCGGAGTCGAGGGTGGCCGCGATCGCCACATTGCTGGTTGCCGGGGCCTGGTTCGTCTCTCAGCGCTACAGCGCAGAGGCTGGGTGTAGGGTTTGGGGTTTGGGTTTAGGGCAGAAGCAATGCAGGCTGGATGCAAAAAAACATAGCATGAATCGCACCAAACCATAGGCAGAGTATACAATGCATCAAAGCGTCCTGAAGTACTATTCAGGCCACTTCAGCCCCCCATGTTTCGGGTTTCAGAAGGTAATCGCAAGGGGCCACCCCTGTTTTTCCAGAGCTCTCCGCCGTCATCTAGGGTGCTTGCGATTCGTGTAGGTCAATGAGATGATTAGGAAATGCTAAACCATACCTTGACAGTTTACGGCTGCAGAGTGTCCAAGCTTCTTAGCAACTACACGTACCCCTGCAAACCGAGATACCCCAAACCATTACAACCCCTAAACCTGAAACCCAAAGGCCCCGGTCCTATACAGACACTAAACCCCTGATGGAGCCTTGCCGGCCTTGTGCGAGTGTGAGAGTCGAAACCCCTGATGGAACCCTGATAGATCCCTTCTAGGAACCCCGAAACCTAATATTAGGGGCCTCAATAATTAGAATTGGGTTTGGGGTATAGTATACTATAATTATACTAAGGAACCCCCAAAGCCCTATTCCAAGTATTAAGGCCCCTACATTCTAAACCCTAACCCTATTCCAGTTATTACGGCCTCTACATAAGACAGGCGTCCTCCTCCAAGTTGGCCCTCATGGCCGGGGGCTCCTTCATGGCGCGTCACCCCTGGGAATGTCCTGTGGTTCCTTTAAGAGTTCCTTTAAGGAATCCTTTAGGGGCTCCTTTGAGGGCTCCTTTAGAGGGATATGGGATTATAGGGCTTTAGTAAAGTTGGGGACTCTAGGGCTTTTACGGTTTAGGGTTCGAGGGGATACTCCTGGATCGTGCAAAGCAGAAGGGCCATCACTAATTTAGAAACCTTACACTGCGCCTGTGTTGGTGGTTCAGATCTTTCGGGGTGGGCTCAGGATCTCAGAGGTTCTTGCTTGTTCTGTTCACGGATCGTTGCTGTGGCTGTAGCGCTGTTGCCATTTCGACTGCCTGCTAAGACTTGTTGAACCTACTATATGTGGCTTGAATTAATTGGTGGTACAGTCCCCTAGAAGTCCGCCAACACTTATAGAAGAAAAAAACCTCAGAAGCCGAAATCGGAACGTTAAAGCCCAGGAGCACAGTCCAGCTTTTTGGACTTGAGGGCTTCGGATTTAGGGTTGCAAAGTGAAGTGAAAGTTTAGGGTTTTTAGGGTTTAGGGTACCTACGTATAGTCTCCATTGTAGTTCCGCTTTGGGCCTACTACAACGGAGACTATAGGTAGGATCAGTGGAGAGTTTTGCTAATTGCCAGGAGTTGTTTGTCTGAAATCTCGTTTCCCAACTCCGCTGGAAGGATGAGGGTTAAATAGCCCTAAACCTCAAAGGTTTAGGGTTTCCCGCGGCTCCTGGCATATGGATAGACCAAGTGTAGAAGCGATAAGTACTACGAGCCCTAAAACTTGGACAGAGTGTGGTTTGCGTTTGTTTCCTGGTGAAGGTACGTCTACATAGAATCTTGTGGCAGCTAGCTGCACGTGGTGATAAACAATTTCTGCGTTGTTCGGATGAAGTGCCACTACAATCCCCTGATCGCCTAAACCCTAAACCATAAACCCTGTTCTGCTTACTAGGTCGCTACATGTAGATCTTAAGTAGACCCAGGCCCTCCACCTACCAGAAACTAGACGCTACATACCCATTGTTTTGGGACCAGGTACCCTAGTGGAGGGTACAAGGGGGGGGGGGGGGGGGGGGGNNTAAACCCTAAACCCTAAACTACGGCATAAATTGGAGCTCGGTAGGCACTGGAGGAGAGGAGCTCCGACAGTACACGACACCCTCAGCCCGAAGGTTCAGGGTTTACCTGAACCTACCAAAACCTACCTTTTTGTAGGGTCCCTACAAATTCCGTATTAGGGTTTATAATTAGACCATCGAAGCGTTAAGACCCGAAATCAGAAGCCCTAAATCCTAACAACCCCAAACAACACCCGCCGCCCCCCGGCACCCCCCCTCCCTCCGGCAGTTCCTCTACTTGGTTGCGGGGACGATGCTGCTGAACCTCGCAGCAGTTGCAGCACTCGCGGTCAGCCTGGGCTCGGGCCGGGGCACAGATGCCCACAAACAGAGTGTGGGCGAAGCGCATGTCTTCGTATACTGGGACATCAACGTAAAAAGACTTCGTATGCAATCATGAGTGTGTGTGTATAGGTGTATGTCCAGGTGGATGTATTGATGTATGTATGGATGCATTGATGCAGGGGTACGTGCATGCGTGTGCGTATGTACGTATGTACGTAT